AGCTGTGATGAGAGCTGTGCCTAGAAACCTCTTGTCGTTGTCTCCTCTCGGCGCGTCTACTACTAGAAGTGCGAGCAGATCGGGCATGTTTGTGGGGAGAGATCGTGGAAATAGCCTCAGGTTTAAGTTTTCGCTTCCAAGGGCACGATCCAACAGCTCATTCTGAAGTCTCACCGTGTCTTCGAAGCAATGAGCATCGAAATGTTCCGAACACAGACGGGGATATTTTGGTAAAGACGTTCTTCCGACAGCTTGAATCCAAGCACGGCGTAATCTCTTATCTATCTTTCGGGAAAACATGAGAACTTGTACTCGTATCTTTTCTGTTTTTTGCTTGGTTGCTGCAACCAAAGGCTACACAGTGCAGCATTTTGACTGTACGAAGCAACCACTATACGTCATCAGCCCGTAGTGCATTGCGCGCCGTTCAAGATGGCGGCCGCAGGAATTTTAAACGGGCCATAGGGCTGATCTTTGGAAGACGATAAAAACATTATTTCACTATGTGAGAAATTTTTCTTTTTATTCCAGATCTTTTAATAAGTACATTTGAAACATTTTAGGCGATATTTGTTAAGATAGTGGAGGTTCCCTTTAATATTTTCCTCCTGTGTTATTCCCTATTCTTGTCAGTTATTTCTGTTCTATATTTAATAATTATTCACCTTGCAGAAGTGAAGGCAAATATCCGCCACTTTCACCGACACCGAGGCGAATGATTGTTTTAGCATATACCACACAACTCGAATAACTAGCGTACCAAAAATTACTTTATTTTTCACAATAAACCGACAAATGGGTGGAGGTTTAAAAATCTCAGCTCGGAAGTGAATGGCACTTTGCTAATCACCTCCGAGTAAACTAATCAAAAGGCATGAAAAGCACTATTCGCTTATGTTGTGTTTATATTACTAATAAATACACTTTTCTGTGTAATGGTAAAAACTCGACAAGCTGGAAATCACAGGCGAAACGAATGCATTTATCTGCTATAGTAATAATACTCTTGCATGCCGCTATGTTCTTTCAGGTCAAAAAGATGACTGAGATGCAATGCTCATAGATTCTCACTAAGTTAAAGAAGTGC